GAAAGTGAAGAGGATGGAGGTGTGCGGCGAGGGATGGGGAGAATAAACTGAGGGAGCAAAATGCTCCCACAGGGAGCTGTTTCTAACCCCATCAGGCTCTGATCAACTCATCTGATTTTATTAACTTTAATGTTTGAGATGAAACTTTTACTGTATAAAAGGGTCCAGAATGTTAAACTGAGTATCTTTATAGTCAAATTAATTGAAGTATAGAAAGTGAACAAAGTGTCTGACAGGCTGCAGTGATGAAAGTAGAACCATCAGCTGCAAAACTCATCAGATTAAAGGTTTCTGTAAACCCAGTCCAAGTTCTGGTTCAAGAAAGAACCCCTCTAACTGGGTTTTGGGTTAAATTAGATGAAGCAGCYGCTGCTCACAGTTTGATTTTTTTATTTGAACCTCTGGACAAAAGAAGAAACATTTTAATCATATAAAAACATGAGTTTATTAAAGTTTCCATGCAACAAATGAACTCACTGTTTGTGTTTCRAAACAGAAATATGAACAAAAGCAGACATTTAAAACAACAATTGTTACATTATTATACAACAATCACATTTAATAAAGACCCTGTACAAAACCTCACAAACAGTCTCTTCATTGGATTCATTGCATTCTACAGGCAGAGCTTCTAGAAACATCTGAGTCAACGCTTGGGTCAATTAAATACATGTTTACTTAGAGAGAATTCTGCACATATGACACATGATAACAGGAAATATTGTGTTAACCTAAAAACTGTCATGAAAACGTGACGACGACGACTGACTCTGGGATAAATACGATGACGGCTGACTCGGGGATTCCTGACGAGAAAGAAGCTCCGCTTTCCCGTCCTCCTGAGCTACACAGTTTCCGTTGTCGGTTTTCCCGTTCTCCTCTGACAGCATCTCTCTAGCATCGTTCTCCTCAGGGACGGAGAGATAAGGAAGGAGTTCTCGATCTGGTTCTGGTCCCACAGTTTCAGCCTGGACCTGTCAGAACAGAGTCCAAATGATGGCATGTTAGTTACCAGATGTTTCACAATCAGTGCAGCTCATGGGAATCAAAAGGCTAATAACTGTTATCGATTACATTAAAAACACTTTGTAGATGTTTAACAGGGTTCATATGTAGAGAAATTAAAACAGTTTCCAGTTTAACCCGAGGCAGAAACTGGGATTTATTTGATTCTGATATAAAGTACCGTATTTATTTGTGTATAATACGATCTCATGTATAATACGAACCCCCCCCATTTTTATCTTAAAAAGCATAAAAAATTAAATTC